GGGGTCACACCAAACTTTTGGTTATCTAACAAATAAACCCTATACGTTATCATGCGTCAAAGTTCAAATCTCTTTTTAGTTTCATTTAGAAAATTATTCGTCCGAAGTCAAAATAGACATTTGTGTTGAATGTTTTTATCATGGGGATTGATTCAATGCATTGTTACAACCTTTTGACTTGTTTTTATTCTCTGATTTTTTTTTCTTTTTTCTTTTTAGACCATTTTTCTCGATCGATCCTTTTACAACAGTCTCTTACTATACAAAAACGTATATGAATTATGGGCTCAACTAATTACGACAAATTGTATTTACTCATTTAATAATCGAAAAATCGCATTTATTAAAAACGTGATCATAATGAATACGTTTGATTTCAAAACACGTAATAACATTCGTACTTTATCCTTAATAATTGATCAAAGATCCTCCAACTTCATGAAGGCTTAAAAACTCTTCCACAAAAGATTCAACAATGTCACAAAACTCTGAAAGGTTTTTAAAGAAAGAAGAAATCCTAAGCTTTCTCCATCAAATCACATTTTGGCTGCTGCAGCCGCCAGTCGCTTCTTCTTCTTCTTGACACTAGCGGATTTGTAACCGCCTTTGCACGGTTTTCCCCAGGGAGTAACCGATGTTCTTCCTCGGCTTCCACTACTTTTGCTTTTACCTTCACCTCCACCGTGCGGATGATCACACGGATTCATCGCCACTCCTCTAACTTTCGGTCTTATCCCCAACCACCTACTCTGTCCTGCTTTCCTCAGCTTCTTTACTCCATGAGACGGGTTCGAAACTGTACCAATCGTAGCACGACATCTTGCGTTGATCCACTTGGTGTCCCCTGATGGAAGCTTTATCAAACACTTTCCTGAAGCAGGCTCCTTCAGGATCTTGGCGTTTGTTCCTGCAGCTCGGACCATCTTCGCGCCTTGCCCTGGGTTCATTTCGATGTTGTGGATGATCGTTCCGATACGCATCATACCTAGTGGCATGGAACTTCCTATCATTGAGTTGATGTCCATATGGAGCATCTCTTCTTTCATTTGTGCCACCAATGTTTTGTTCTGTGCATCAGCAAAACCTGCAAAATTAAAACAAAAATTAGAGGCCTTGAAGTGTAGTCTGACGTAAACAAAACATACCCAAAACAAAGGCACGGATTTTGACACAAAGTTATATGAAAACTCTGCATTTCCATATACCAATATATGACCTCCTTAACCAAGTTTGAAGATGTATACTTTAACAGAACTCAATCCTAGTTATCGAAAAACCATATAGACGGTCTACATGACCATAACCAAATTCCCGTAAAGTACCTACATGTATCGGTTTTATGTACCTGACACATCATTTTGGATGCACCCATAAAGAAAACATCCTGAAGCAGCTAAAACCAGAGATAAGAGAAGAATCTAGCACCAGATTTAGGAGATGCAAAATAGGACCAGAGTTGGAGAGATCCAAGTTTATCCTCCCTTAATGATCATGAAAATTGATCCAACATAAAGTAATAGAGTAATCTATATTGAGAACTAATGATCATGAAAAATAATTACGAAGAACAAGTGAGAACAAAAAAAGATAGCTAATCCATTCATTATCTCATATAGAGAAAGAAAGCAAAGGCTTTGCACCTTAACAAATCCCACGAGTTCAGATTCCACAATAAATCAGTCTAAACACGTAAACACACGAGTTTCAGATCGCAACTCAATAACAGCATCTCAGTTCTGTAACAATAATTGCTTATCAAGCACAAAGTTTGAATCAAGAGCCTACCTGAGGAGAAATTGCGAAATGCTGGACGAATAACGCTGCTGAATA